GAGAAAGATACAGAAGAAAGCTCACATTTACTTTGGAAGTATCACGTTTTTGAAACGTGAATAAGTTTCCCCCAGTTCCGGCATCTTCGCTAGAGTATTTCGAATGATCAGACTTTAGTGGTCCTCTGGTGCATACGCCTCTCTGAAATAAGATGACTCGCTCCTTGCTGTTCTCTAAGTCACTTTCACACATTTTAGGCCTATATCGCGATCTTTAGCTCTCTTCATTATATTACAATGTCAAGCTGAATATTCTTCGTCTTTACCAGTCCTATTTGACAAAATCGATCATAGGCCCACTGGAGTTCATCCAGTGGGTAGTCCACTTTCTTGTTGCTAATATGTGACTTCTGTTGGTGAGTCATGTGACCAGCTACCACGTCGTGTAGAGCGGGCACCAGGACAAACGGCATTTCAACGAAAAGTCACAAATACCTATTTTGGAGTGAAAATTGAAGTCACTCACAATTCATGGAGCATGTATGTGGTACGTTCATTCCCATATTCATGGGGCTTATACCTTAGATGTAGTCGTTCGCCCGACGCTTTGAACAACAACTCAGTAACTCTTCTGTTGTAGTGAGCGATTATTCAAACGCGAGTGATGTTAGCATGGATTCTACAAATCCAGCAGCCACCTAAAACTAATCGAAAAAAATTGTCTACCAGGTTTCAGTCGTCTGTGCCGCTACTTGACCAGGAATTCGTGACAAGCGGATCAATCGGTCGACACAACCAGGACAACTACTGGATCATCGTTCATGTTCACCTGCTCAGGTGTGAAAATTTAGATGCGTCCGGCGTGTGCTGAAGAAGTAGTGGTAGCTCGCTCCCCTCGTATGTGAGGTGTGCGGAGTTCGAACCCCGGCACGGCCAATGATATGCACATTTGGCGAGCTCCAATAAGAGCGAAACTGGTGTGCAGTACTTTCCCTCAAAATGATTGTGCCAGGACAGGAAGACGACTGTTTGAGCGGGAGTGATATGATCATGAATCCCGCAACAACCTACAAATAATCTAGGCATATTTTCCCACGGGTATAACCGACTAATATCTCATTTCTTTCCAAAATTTGTAAATCCAAAACCAACAATGTGTTTGACCCCATTGAATTCACAGATTTTGGTTAGCGGACCGTTATTTTTGAGCATCCACACTTTCTGCTAAGTTGAATGGCCCATTTGTTCAACGATGTTAAACGACTGGTTCACTGACAGGCTTATCATGCCTTCAATTCCAAATCTCATCCTACTTTCAGGTTAGCCAACCGTTAACAGTATCACCAGTTTGATCATCTTGGGTGTTCCGGAACCCAACGAAACGTCAGATAAAATAACGCAAAACACACAAGACTACATGCAGTGGCAATCTCTATGCAGTACACTTGAAATTGGAAACGTGGCCGTGGTTGATTTGATTCGGATTCCGAAATCACCAAAGTATATGTGTACCGGCCCGAGGCCCCTGAAACTCACACTACTTCGTGGTGATATGCTAAACTTAATCCAAACACAATGGCAACGTCACAGGAACTTACTCCCTAGGGAGTTAAGGATAAGCACATCCATGCGGAACAATATACCCACAGAAGAGACCAAGGTTAATGAAGATGAAGCCGTAGGAGTTTGTAAACCAGGTGAAACTTCAAAAAACGACCAGCTGCCGACTCTGCCAGGGTCGGCACAATTATAACCGCCCAACCTGCACATTCTCTTGCGTATTGCCCAACACTGCTGTCAATAAACGTCATTAAATGTTTATACACGAACGCGCAATGCTTGACTAACAAGATTCCAGAATTATCTGAATTGTGTGAAAAGTATTTGCCAAACTTGATTGCTATCAGCGAGACTTGGTTCCAGCCACACTCATCGGATAGCGAACTTGCCATCCCTGGAATGACGCTTCTTCGTCGGGATCACATTTCTCGGGGAGGTGGTGTAGCTATTTCCCATAGCAGGCAACTGTTGTGCAAAGAGCTAACTGATGAATAGTTGATGCTATCGGATACCTTGTGGTGCTCGATAAAGACGGTAGCAGGAAACGACTGTGTTGTTGGTGTGATCTATCGACCACCTTCAGCGGAGGAACTGCACA